TCAGAGTGGGAGGTCAACTTCGAAGAGCGGAGACCCTTAACCATGATAACATCCATCCAATTATATTGGATCCAAAACATCCCATAACCAAACTCATTATCAAGGATTACGATGAGAAACTGCTCCACCCTGGCCCTGAGCGTGTCTTGGGGGAAATTAGACGCAGGTACTGGATTCTGCGTGGTCGTCAAGCCATTCGCCAGCGTCAACACCAATGTCAAGACTGTCAGAGATGGAGAGCCAACCCAGTCATTCCCAAAATGGCAGACCTTCCTCCAGCCCGTCTTAGACTGTTTAAGCCCCCACTCTGGTCCACAAGCATGGACTGTTTTGGGCCTTTCTCTGCGAAAATCGGCCGCCGTACAGAGAAAAGGTGGGACATGCTCTTCAAATGCTTAACAATATGCTGCATTAATCTTGAGCTGCTTAACGGTATGGATACAGTTACATTCCTAATGGCCTTCAGAAGATTTGTCTCACGCAGAGGGAAACCCTTCGAACTACTCTCCGACTGTGGGACTAATTTCAGATTAGGAGAAGCAGAGCTGAAAAGTGCCTTTGAGGCCATTTCACCAGACTTAAAGCAACAATTGGCCCACACACAAGTGAACTTCCAGTTCAATCCTCCATCTGCCCCACATTTTGGTGGAAGCTGGGAACGAGAGATAAAATCAATTAAAATGGCCCTGTGTTATGCAATGTTGCATTAGGAAACCAACCAACAACAGAAATTGTTCTGTACACAGTTTTGATTGAAGTTGAGGGCATTCTGAATTCAAAACCTCTCAGATATATCTCCTTAGACCTTGCTGATCCAGACCCAGTCACACCAAATATGTTATTGATGGGGCGGCCTGAGTCCTCTCATCGTGAGGCAATCTACTGTGCTAGTGAACTCCTTGGCAGAAGAAGATGTCAGATCCTGACTGATCGTTTCTGGACAGCCTTCATTCGCTATTATCTTCCAAACCTCCAAACCAGTCAAAAGTGGGAAACTGAACAGGACAACTTGGTTTTAGGTCAGGCTGTGATGATAGTTGATCAATGCTTTGTTGAGTTGTAGCTGTGATACATTTAATGTATGAGTCGGTGTAGCTCTGTGGCAGAGCATTTGACTGCAGATTAAGAGGTCTACCTTTTGAGTATCCAACATGACACCCTTATTAGCTTTTGCGTCTCTCACAGATTTGATCTTAATCTCTATCTGATTTTCTGCCTTCTTTGTAAAGTGTGTTTGTTTGCTTAAATATGGGACATTTGTAAACAATGATCGTGGGAATCAACAAGAGTTGGACTGGGGACTTCTTGATCTTCAGACAAATCTCTGCAGATGGCAAATAGGTTATAAAGAAGTAACTGTGCAGAGGAGACTGTTTAGCTGGTCAGGATCATTGTGGTTGAGTAGATGTTATGTTGCAGCAACACATGCATCCATCAAGCTGCATCCACTGTTCAGTTTCATATAGACAAAGGTTTCAGCCCAATATCTGTTTAGAGGGTACCCAGAGTTGAACTGGGGGCCTCTTGATCTGCAGTCAAATGCTCTACCACTGAGCTATACCCCCATCTGCTTTGTCACCTTCAGTCTGCGGGTTGCTTTGTTGGACTACAGACAAACCTGTGCACGTGTTTCATGTCATTGGCTACCAGCACTTGTCCTTTTGAGTATCAAACTCTTGCAGCCACTTTGGACCTGAAAGGTAGTAATAGTTGTTTTTCTTTACATAGAAGAGCTGGAATTCATGTAATGATACATTTATTCGCTGTTTTCCTGTTTGCATAACACATGCATTGGTGATGGTGAAGACCGTTATGTAGGCACAGGGGTTTGTATGCCAATAGACTTAACACCCACTGCCTGTTACGGTTCTCCCTAGAAGAGCCGGGGGATCCACCCCTGGGGGGTGGGACAATTGTGCATACGTGCCATGGCCACAAAAGCAGCTTGACGCCTTTCCAACGCTCCATCTCATCCCTTCCCTGTTGCAGAGAGTGAGGCGGGAGCAGTTGGTGGTAATACTGCTGTATTGTCCATGCGTTTTTTACCTAACTAGTGCAGTGCCCATGCAAAACATGCCTGTTAAGGGCTTGTCCTTTTGGGTATCAAATTCTTGCAGCCACTTTGTACCTGGAAGGTAGTAATAGCTGTTTTTCTTTACGTAGAGGAGCTGGAATTTATGTAATGGTACATTGATTAACTGCTCTGCATGTTTAGGGCAGTACTGTTTTCCTGTTTAAATAAGGGAAAGATGAGCATATTGAAGTTGTTGGTCATACTGGTGTATTCTCAATGTGTTTTTTACAGGAAAATATTCTGCATGTTTGCATCACCCTTTTAATCTTTACAATATTGTCAAATTCTGAATTGCAGTGCAATTTTAGTGTGCATGTAAACATCGTTACTGTTGAATAAAACAAGGTAATTGGTAATGTTATTAGCAAACCAGGGTCACTCCCAACTCGTCAAATACCGACAGTTGGTCCGTGCTCCTCGCCATCTCATACCAACACATGGAAGCACGTCTGTATGTGATTCACTATCGCCAATGTAAATCCAGCTGCGTCATTATTAGACGGTCAGAGTGACTGACCTGGTATATAGAGCGAGATAGTCTACACAGCGTGGGCAGGAGAGACGGTAGGTTCAGCCAGGAGACTTTTTTTTGAGTCCCACGAGAAACTAAAAGTATATGTTGGCATTTTGTCACATGAGCCGCTAGTCACGTGACTCGTTTGTTACTCACTACGAAGCTGTTTTTTTGCTTGAATCGAACTTCCTGAGAAGTTTGTTTTTTTTCTTTTTTTTAAACAGTATGCATGTAATATGTGGAAACTGCCGTCCCTGCCACGTCCAAAACTGATGCTAGAGAGGTACCTAGAGCTTCACCGTTTGAAGCTTAGTACCCCTGACAAAACATTGGTGTTTGACAAATAAGAAGTGAGAATGTGTTCTTATTAATAACGCTCAGTGTGAGTCAAGTGTCTGCTTAAAGTGCTTTTTTGTTTTTTCGGCTGATATCTGCTCAGGTTGAAATTTGTAGCTATGCTGGGAATTACATGAGGTCAAAATCAACAAAACTGTACATAATGTACTGATCAGAATGATAGAATTGTAAATTGTCCCACCCTGACAGGTCACAGGAGAGTGGGAAGAGGGAGGGAGATGTCAATTAAGAAAAGTCTCAAGGGTTAGGGTTGGTAGATAAATAGATCACTTTAAAAGACTCTTTCAAGTAATACATGAAAATCACAAAACAGAAATAAAGTGAAGAAATAAAGTAATAGAAAACATAAATCTAGATTTAGAAACTGCAATGATACCGAACACTTTTTCTGTAAAACGTTCTGGTTGTGTTAAAGAAATAAAAACAATGAAGTTAGCTCATTCAGTTCATTCCTATTCTCGGCTGCCATCTAGTGACAGAAGCTGTGCACATATTTTAGACACAAGGGGAAAAAAACACTTGTCAAAGTGTCAAAACACAGACTAGATCAATTTACAGATCTAAAAACCAAAAGATAAGCTTTTGAAATCTGAGCCTTTTGGTGAATTCTGATGTTTACTCTCCATTATAGTTTAACTCTTACGTAAATACAAGGCCGATGAGCGGAAGCACAGGCCAGAATGGATAAGAGTGGAAATAAGTGTGTTATTTTAAGGTGGAGTGATCCAATTTTACAGCTCCGCTTGGATTCAGACCAATCTGTAGACTTTACCCTATCCACAAATACAAAACGTGCAATTTGACAGAGTATTTGGTGGCACTTTATGTAACATAATCATGCAACGTGACCATCAATATAAGACATAGAGTCTATAGGCACAAGCCAAGGTTCACTGAGGCTGGTTCTTCTGTTCCTTCTGCTAGACTGCTCTTAACTTACAACAATATAACTACTGTCACTTTTACTACTACTACTACGACTACGTCTATTAATACGACAACAGCTATACTATTTGTACTACTAGGTCTACTACAACTTCAACTATTACTAATCCTGCAACTAGCCTATACTACTTCTGCACTGTTTAATTCATGTTATGCTGACATTGATTCATGACATGATGAAGCACATTGTATCAGCCTGTGTATGAGATGCAACAACATCTTGCCTTGCCTACTACTATTACTACTACTACTTGTTGTGATATATAATAGTATAACATATTTTGTAAGCTTATCACGTTTTGTATGTTTAATACAATATTCCCCTCCGAATTGTGGTGGAGGAGAAGTAGAAAGTAGCATCAAATGAAAATACTCAAGTACAAATAGGTGTACCACAAACTTTCACTATGATAAACTGTGTAGCTTAATAGTATCATTCCCATGATGAGCCCTTGGAGCAGCAGGTGAAGCCACCACACAAGTTCAGTCAAGAGGTTGTGCCAAATTCAAAGAAGAGTAAAAGTGTATGTTTCCTCCCATATCCGCACACAATTACAACTACATGCATGCAACTTTGACTACATCATTAATGTCTTCTGGCACATTCCACATGCAAATCATTTACCGAGAAACGGTTACAATGACAGTTTCTGAATTTGGAATGCAGGCATGCTCCCACTATATCTGCTGGATGAAGTTATTGTGAGTAACAATAATGTCATTCTGTGTTATAGGATATATGGATGTATGTCGTATTGAAAAGGGTTTCCTGATGCTTTATAACGTGTTCTGAGTCGTATTTTTTAGAGAGCATGCTATTTAATAATATTTAATACCGCAATGAATTGACAGAGTTTTGAATAAAGAGTATACTGATCATAGACATGACAGAGGCTCGCGTGGGGGCTTGCTCATGGCCAATGGAGCTATCAGTTGGATGTAGTTCAGGGGTGTGTTGTGGTCTGCTTCTAGGAACTGGATTTGGGAAAAGGGGTTATCTGCTGCTGATAAGGGCATATTTAAAAGACTGGGTTAGGATGAGACTAACTTATTTCACTCTGCCTACTGGAGGGAGCAGCGACAGAGCGCTTTGAGAGGATTTGACACACCATGTTGCTGCTCGCAGTCACCGTATCCGTCGCCAATATGTTTTTAGCTTTCGACGTTGTTTGCGTGCCCCTATCGGACCAGGGTCCCCATATCGCCCACAGCTGGGGCCAGTCGGTCCGACTCAAGCACCTGTACGCCGCCAGGCCCGGACTACACCTGCTGATCAGTGAGGATGGACAGATCCACGGCTCTGCGCTCCAGACTCCGTACAGTAAGTCAGGCATTTTAAAACACAGACTTAACAGGCTGAAGACTGTGATGACTGGAGGAGGTTTGGTGCGATTCTCACACCGATGAACGTTTGATCTGCAGGCCTGCTGGAGATCAGTCCAGTGGATCCCGGCTCTGTTGTCATCAGAGGAGTAGCAAGCGCACGGTTTCTCTGCATCGAAGGCGATGGAAGACTGTACTCATCGGTAAGGATTTATATGACAAAGTGACAAGCTACCGTCTGTTTATTGCTACTGTACATTTGTTGTTTATTGGTGGTAAAGTTGCAGATGTTATTATTCATCCAAAAATAGTTCATTAGCCTGATTTATTTTTTCATATTTATGAAAAGTCACGTGTCATTAAGGGAGATTACTTAATGACAAGAGAAGTAAAAGTTTATTTAGTCTATTTACCACTGCAGAGTGATGATGATTAGGATACATATTTATCAAATTAGTCAAATTATCTGATATTAAAATGTATAATCCATTACACAAACATTTATTTACCCAACAGATTAAATTCAAGTCTCTGAATATAGCAGGAATACCAGAACAGCAGAATGGCCAACATCAAAGAGATTAAATGAAATAAATCATATGAATAAATACAGTACATCGAGTGAAATATAGAAATGTACTATGAAGTAATTTAATAACTTATAGCAATAAGTAATAACTGAATAACTAAGTTAGTATTAATGTGACGATGTCATTACTATTGCATAGAGGTCTTTTGTGACATAATGCCTTTTGAAGATGAGTTGTATTCATAGTGTCATTATTTACTGCTACATTTTTATTTCACTATGTCACTTTTGGAGAAAGAGTTGTGACCAATGTGCACCACCTCACCTGTCAGCCAGTCAGCCTCTCAGTAGATCAGCTGCTGCTTCGTGCTCGGCCAAAGAAAAGGAGACTCTTAATATCTTTGTGTCTTCTGCCCAGGGAACATCTTTGAAATCCCAGAAATGCCCAGTTTGTTCTGAATACTTAGCTGCTGCTCTTAACACTAGCTCTTTGCTAGATAGCATATGTTGCCTTGTTGAGCCAAATATATGCATTAGGTATTTTGTGTGTCTGTGCATGGGACTGTGTTCTCTGCACATGTCACATTGTATCCTTTTTTAGGCTTTTCTAGTTTATTCCATTATTATTGGCTGTTTTGAAATCTGTAAGATCATAAATAAGTAGATAGACCATGTTACACCTAGACTGCTCATACAATATGACTCAAATATAAATGAAACTCACACTTTTACTTATAATTGCTCTTTTAACTATTGTCACAAAAAATAAGAGTAAAACAATGATGTGATATTTATTAGATTTTACATTTTCTAAATTTAGCAATGCAGCTGAAACAATGCTTTGCCAAAATTGGTAGAGTACATTTTCTAAAGATGTTCCAGGAACTATTTCTGCAGGAACTGTTGACCTGAGCTTTCCTGCTGCTTTTCATATGTTGTTAATCAGCTTCCATGTTCAGAAAACACTGCATGCCAGTCACTCATTCATTGAAACAGACGACCAGTTCATCAACCTTTGTCCAGTGCGGTGCAGGGTAGGATGTGTTTGCAAAGTGAAAAACCTGAATGACAAGACCCAGCAGCAGCAATAACAACCTTGGCCTCTGACTGTCTCTCTGTGGTCAAAGTAAACAGCCGTCGAAGAACTTGCAGCACCATTTTTGGGGCCTTTTATCTAAAAACACCATTCATGCAAATCGTAAGGGAAACTGCCATTCTAATTTAGGATTTATTTTGCTGCCAGAGCAATTTTTTAACCTACTGTATATGGATACGAGTAAAGAAAACTGAAAAAATGCCATTGCGAGATGGACCAAATACAGGTAAATAAATCATTAAAAAAAACAAATAACAAGTAAAAGCTCATGGTTTGGCTGTAAAAAAGATGATAGCCTAATTAACCTGCTGGGGAGCCCTGCGGCAAAAATGAGCCGGAACCCTATTATTAGCATTCGTAGTTATACCTAAGAAATATAATGTGCTGTCATACATACACATCCCTTAAAATCAAATCGTAGGTATGCCCACCCCGAGACGAGGGGCTGTGGGGTTCTGATCTGTCATCAGGGAGACAGCTGTTCGTTCCACATGTGAAATGAGAAAGCTACTTTGATTTATTTGTCACATAGTTTGGGTACTTGAGTAACCGTAGTTAGTTCAACCCAAACAATGATCTTTTCCTGAACCTAACTAAGTAGTTTCCTGTGAAGACTGAAGTTTATTTTGAAAAGACTGTATACATGTAACGAGCACATTGACAGGTTTTACTGGCTTTTGTAAGAAAAAATGAAGAGTACAAAAAATGAAGAGTAACTTTTGGTAAGATGTCATAGGAACCATTGTATCAGGATTCGCTGCATTTCTCCTATACTGTGCAATATGTGCACAGGATTCCCGTTGGAGCATAATATGACCGAAGGTTTATTGTATTTTAATATATTTTAGGGCTGCAACTAGTGATTAACTGGTGATTATTTTCTTAACAATTGTTTAGTTAATAAAACATCATAAATTGGTTCTAAAAAAAAGAGTCTAAAGAGATTCAGCACCAGCATGAGGAGAGAAGCGTCATGAAGAGAGCAAACTGATGTAATGTCTGTCATGGTGTAGTATCGATCCAGTCTTCCTTTGTTTGCTAACATTAGCCAACATCATACGCTACTGGACCTACCGGACCAAGTGAGGCTGAAGGCTAAAGCAGCATATTGAAATGAGTATAGGTGCATTTTATTACTTGTGAATTGAACCTGTCCTTTGTAAGAGGAAGAATGTGTGATTCCTTCAAAGGTTACATAGTATTGCTTTAAATATTAAAGAACTGTGAAATCTTGTTCTGCAAAAACAGAGGTCACAGGTGATTTTATTTGTGTGAAGTATTTCATATCTCCAGTAGCATTTAATATATAGAATCAACCACAATCTAATATATTTAAGAATGTATGCATAGGGATAAAACTGTAGCAAATTTGCTGACTTGGAAGAAAAAAGAAAACAAACAGGAGCAAGGAGGAAAGTCTGCTGCTAGTAGAAGAGTACATCAAGGACAATTTATAATCTGGGACCACATTGACAGATAATGTAAAGTCATATCAAATAAAAGCAATACATTCCCAAAGTTACAATTAATTCAAAACAAAGTCATTTGCCTCAGGTGTCGTTTCCTCACAGCCAAGTGTCATTTAAATATGTTGTGGAACATGATTATCTTTATATGTGGACATGTCCCATCATTTCCAGCACACCTACAGCAGAGATGACTGCACGTTCAGAGAGCAGATCTTGCCGGACGGCTACAACATCTATGTCTCTGACAGACACGGAGCTCTGCTCAGTCTGGGAAACCACAGGCAGAGGCTGCAGGGTCGAGACCGGGGCGTACCGGCTCTGGCCCAGTTCCTCCCAAGGATCAGCACCGTGGATCAGGCCTCGTCCCCTGGACTGGACGTACCTGACCAGCCGCAGCAGAGCACAGCACAAACAGAAGAACCTGTGGACTCGATGGACTCGTTTGGAAAGCTCTCTCAGATCATTCACAGTCCCAGCTTCCATGAGAGATGAGACGGGCGCTCTGAGACACCAGTAAACGGATGTATCATGAGCTGTTCTACTTTGTCTTAGGCCTGAGAACCTGCACTCCTCACTGCATGTTGTAGAACCAGGAACTGACTGCACGTTCAGCCAGCCTGCAGCCGGAAAGGCTGCCGCGACATCCTGCCAGCTCTGTCCAGTCAGACATGACTGAACACAATACAAGTGCAGTGTCCTACAGAGAGGAGAACGACACCTGTACCGAGTATAATGTTCTATTCTGTCACTTTCAGGAACAACCTTTACATTTACTGAACAAACACCCAAAGTTCTCTCGTTCTTCCTCCCCAAAAAGCAGCCTATGGCCCACAGGGAGGGATGTGTTTGACCATCTGGTTTGTTTGGAATAAAGACACGGTAACATGATGGCTGACCATAGATCAACTACAAGTAGCGCCCACGGAAACTTGAAAAAGTGAATGAATAGTACACTATTGGTCACAGTGTTTGATCAGCAGGTGTAGAGGCACATTAAGGAGCACCAACGCCATCAGACATTTTGCAGACTTGTTTGCCATCTTATACAAAGAGTGATTCAGCACATGAGGAGTCTCAGGGTACACTGCCTCAGTGAAGTGAAGAGGAGGCACACTACTTACCTGCAGATAAGGATCAGCATGTTCGTAAAATGAACTGCAATATAATAGTAAGTTAAAGAGATGACTACTATTCCATGCCTGACAAAGTGTTTTTTCTTGCAGTGCAGTAGTATAGTTGTATTTATTTAATTGTTTAAAGGTCTAGCAGTTTGACTGTAAAAACCTTGAATGCTTTATTGAATGCACTGTTGCATTTTCTGTATGTGTGATGTTTCCTGTTGCATATAAAGCAGCAATTTGCATTGGTTGAAGTTTAAACCACCAAACCTCTCTCTTTGATTTTCTGCCATGTGTAGACTTCTCTTACTATTCTGACATGTAACGTAACTCAATCGAAACTTGTGCTGGTTCACGCAACAGCCACGCAATGCAAAAAGGAAAAACTTCTTTATGATTCTTTTTCCAAGGTAACTGCAGATTCTATATAAAAATACTTGCCCACAAAATTAGCCCTTTTGAGCAAGAAATGGATAGGGGTCTGTGGTTTTAAGATCATTGTTATGTCACGCAGTGCTCAAAGAAAAAAATCCCATTCTGAACCCCGTATAGTGCACTTTTAATGGAGGCCGATGCGCACGATTAGACAGAACAAGACTAGAGACGTAATGCAGCAGAGACATGTCTGAAAGTGTTGATCCAAAACAATCAAGAGCAAAATCATTCATTCATTCATAATTGTGTGTAATAAAAAATAAAGTGCACAGAACACTTTGTGTGACACTACGACTTCAGTCCGACGTCCCAAAGATGCCCTGGTTGTGGTCGGGGGAGACCAGCTGAACCCAGATGTGGGACAGTGCATACCAAGCAGGGAACTGTGGTTTGCAAACTCCTTACGCAGAGGTATAGGTTTGGTGAAGAAGATTGAGTGGAGGAGGCTGGATGAGATGCCAGACAAGCCAAAGTTCAGGCATGGAGTACATCTCAAGTCTCTTAACTGCATCCCCGTTTCCCTCACTTGGGTCCTTTCCTTGCGTCTTAGTCCCTCCCACCAGGGATGCATGGAGGAAACCATGCGAGGAGAGAGGAACGAGGAAATATGTTTTAAGAGACATGAGACGTCCTTTCCTCAGTTGCGTCACCTGAAGCGACGTCTGTTTCTGATGACGGAGGATCAGCTGATCACAGCTGGATCAGCTGTCAGTCGGCTTTAACAGCTGGAGAGACTTTTGAGAAGTTTGTCTGTTCACATGTTCACTCTACTTAATAATAGTAACTAATAATACTAATAACTAATAAAGACACACAGTAATCACCACTGTAGAGGTGTTTCTCTCTGTAGTCTGTTAACAAACTGTGTCCTGTGTTCTGTTTATAAGCACAGGATCCATTTCTACCGGCGGAATGCGATCGTCTTATTTATGAATTATTTGCATCTGTACGTTTTGAAATTGTGACTGGCGTCATTATTAAATAACCCAGAATATGATTATTGTTTCTCTTAAATGATAAAACTCAAACACTCAGGAATGATGTAAAAAGTGTTTATTCTCTCCAGTTCCCTCTGACTTTAATTGTATTCATAATAAAGTTTATTGAGGGAAATATCAGATCATGAAAACACAAATCTAACAAATGAAGAAAGTTGTTTGTGGTCCTTTTGTTGTTCGGAGTACAATGAACATTTATTTAAACCAGACGGTGTATCAGAATCCTAATCAAATATAAACTAGAGTTTATTCTGTGATCCGTCTTCACTCTGGCGTTAAACTCAGTCAGTCAGTCCGATCGGCTGCAGCGTCCAATCACATGACTGATGAACAATAAGGGGGCGTGTCGGCCGTTAAAAGACTTCCTGGAAGTCTGTTCTCGTGGTTCCTCGCTCATGGCTCCTCCGAGGTCCATCCTCCCTCCTCGCTCCTCAGAGCTACTTTCGAGCTTTGGGACGGCCGTCAATATGGCGGTGCAGAAACAACTTCTGGTTCAAGCGAGGATCGAGGAGCGAGGAAACGACAATCAAGAGACTTGAGAAGTACCCATGGAGTAGCAGCAATGGTGGGAAAGTTGTATGTGTTTGGATGATACTACTACTGCAAGGATGACATGATGAAATCTGCCTACAGGTAAAAGGACACAACTGCTGCACAAATATCCTCTTCTCACTTTGAATAACCTTGATTGTCCCACAGATGCACAGCCGGGGTCTGAACATTTCCATCTTTACCTTTTTTCTTTCATCGCACACATGCTATAGTTATGATCCCGTGCAGGACAGCTGGAAAAGGCTCGCTGACATGCAGGAGTTTAGAAGCAACTTCTCAGTGGTGGTACACGAAGAGCATCTTTATGCCATTAGTGGAAAGGAGGAGATAAACACCAACCTAGACAGCGTCGAGATGTACAACCCAGATACCGACTCCTGGAGGGAAGTCGAGTCATGTTTCGCTTGAAGTAGAACATATTTCATCCGATCGTGTGTGTCCCAAATCCTACGGTATCAGGCATGTCGATGCCGAGCTTTAGCATGCCCAGAATTACACATATCAGTGAATCTGTCACATTATTAAGAAGCAGAGTCGTATGTTACTTAAAATCGGTCAATGTTTATTATATAATATTGAACAAAATATCAAGGATGAAAGCTGTGAGTTCACTTGTATGTTGAGACTTTTCCGCCATACAAATGCAATACCAAGTGTTGTGCCACCAGATGTCCCCATTGTGACGACATCAATCACTTGAAAATACTGAAATAGTGTTTCAGTGGCTTGGAAATCTTTTGTCTCCTCTTTGAGACACCCACACAGCCCACTAGAAACATTTGAAAATGAATGTTGACATATCGCCACAGCAGAATTGTATAATGACTTAATAATCGGGTTATTTGCATCACAAGCCTCAATCCAAGTATTACAGAGCTCTTTGGAGAACGTGAGCTCCATCATGTTTTAATAACGTTTCTGCTACAAAGATTATTTAAAAGACTAAATAAAACTACTACTGTCTTAGAGTGATTTTGACATTTGATCTGGATCTCTCGTTGCTGGTGTCCTAGTAAACAGAGATAACACCTTAACAAAACTCCTGTTGAAATGTATGCTTTGCTATAGTTTGTTTCTGCTATCACCCCGCTATGAAGCTGTCACTAGAGAGTGTGGTCAACACACATATTGCTTCACATATACTGGGATTAAAAGCAGCTGACGGATGCAGTTTCACCCATGACAGTACATTTATGGTAGAAATTAGAATATATATATATTTTTTTAAAGCCAAATTAGTCAAACTGAAGCTGACACTATTTCTACAAATACTACATGAGAGTATCCTCGTTTAAGGTTAAATGGTAGGCTGTCAACTGCCCTTCCTTCTGATGCCTCTTATTTCATTTCCCCAGCTTTGTCCAGCCCCTGGACCAGGCTCTGAGCGGCCATGCTGTCAGTCATAGACTGAGGGATATTCATCTCTGGAGGTTTCGACTGCAAGTATGCATGTCCGGTTTCCATGTTCCTGTACCACCCAGAGAGAGGAACCACCTACCTGGCAGGCATGACTGGGCCCAGCATTGCATGGAGCCCCTGCGAGGCCATCTCTACGTCGCCGGCGGCGTGTGTAACCTGAGGAAGTTTTACACTGACCAGCAACTCTGAGGTATATGATCCTGTGGCCGATTCCTGGACTGCTTTCGCGTCTCTGCCTTTGCCCCATGTGGGTGCAGCCTCGGTCGTCCTGGAGGGGAAGATCTGGGAGGTAATAAGAAGAACAACTGTAGTTTAGAAGAATGTGGAGGACTACAGAAATGGTCGTGCTGACTAGGAGAAATTTAGAAGTGTCGTGATATTGAAAATTTATATTAATGAGGCTGTTGATAGTTTAAATGATTCTGTTTGTCAAGCTATTCCAGAGGACACAAAGCAGCCCGTGCAGAAGAAGGGAGGTAAGCACAAAAAGAAGAGTGTACTTTGTTGGAAAAAGCAATGTGACGAAGCACTCAAATCTCAAAATAAAGATTTTAAAGTATTAAAAAATCAGTTGACAAGGCAGCTGATACTGTTTATGTAATTCTTTCCAGACAGCAGCACGGTGAACAGTGGGAGGGATGAGTATTGTCTCTAATATCCTTTGGGCTCTTCGCGGGCACCCCTGGACAATTTAGATACAGGAATGATGGAGGCTGTCTTGAAAATGTCAGGGATGACATCAGTTAGCTGGTTGGTACATGTTCTTAGTACACGACCAGGGATGTTATCAGGCCCAGCAGCTTTACTCATATTCACTCTCATCAGGGTTCTCCTCACATCCGCTGTGGATACTGACAGTGGCCGGTCCTCTGGAGACGGGGCAAACTTGACAGCTGACTCTTTGTTGAGGAGATGAAAGTGCACTCCTGCGTCTGTAGCCTGTGACGTTCTGGATTGCCTGCCACAACTT